ATTTGATGATGATTGATGATCACAGAGAGCTGAACAGATCTTTTGATCCCAGTTGCTTTGCACATGTCCTGTCTTGTTGATATGATTACTACAGAGACATACTAATACACGGCTGTCAATCAATTCGGTGGGTGGGGAAACTGCACTACTAAGTCACGTTGCGGTGGGTCTCAAAATGAGGATTTTAATCCTGTTTTAACATCAGGATATATATATATGTATATAAAAAAAAGAGACTTATTGTCTTTATATCACCGCGATATGACTATGGACACACTGTACCTACACACAGTCCAAACAGCTCCTAAAAGATGGTTTTCATCATAGGTGCCCTTTAATTCTGCTCTTTGTCTGTTAAACCTGTTAATCTGATGTAATGCGCTCATTTGCCAGCTATTGATTGGGTTCAGATCGATGCCAACTCCTCTGTGCTCCACGATGAGTTTGTTGCTCATAGAGTGGGTGCGTATGTTCATCGTCTCTCCAAAATCTTTCTCTTCATTCTTCCAATAACACCAAGCATAATTATCAGGCTCATGTTTTACAGGATTAATTCCGCTCACAAGTGATGACATCGTTGACAAGATGCAGTACTCGAGAGTAAGTGTCTAAACCAGGGTTTCTATTTTTATAAATCTGCATGAACATGAATCATCTTATTAATTGGAAGAGCGAAAATGTAATATTTGGCTTACTTTGTTTCCAATCAGGACTGCACGTGTGACGATTTCTGTCCCGAGTGTTCGGTTGAGTTGACGCTGGACGTGAGATGCACTGAAGACCAGACACGTCACGTGACCTCACGAGATCTTCTGTCTAATAACCCGCGAGTCATTCCTGTAAGGAGATTTTCTAGAGTCATTTTTAAAAAATGTATTCAAAATGCAGGAAAATAATATTTTAGCCAGTACAAAGCATGTGACTTCAGTAGCCATTGTTTGTTTTAGCTTAATTAATAATTTTAAAATATCTATTGATAATTTAATTTCTCATCTGGCATCTAGTAGCCAGATAATGTTAAAAATAAGCAACTATGGACTGATACCAATATGGGTGATAGATGCATAACAACTTGTTGATAAACAAAAGGTGTTTAATTAAAAAAAACATGAAAAGTAGAAAAACAAAACGTCATTTTCAAGTTACAAAACTTTTTTTACTTTTTTTACAAAACTAGATTTTACATTTGTTTTTATTTTTTTATTATGTTTTAACAACTGACAGAGTTAATGACAGTAAATGGGTAAATATTGTGTCATTTGAACTTGGCGTTTATGATTAAATTAAACAAGAGATGCTCTGAAATGTAGAATTTAGGCAGATGGCTATAATAGTATCAGTAAAACCGATTATATTTGAAAGCCAATAACCGATATATAGGCATATCGATAAGATACATTCTCAGCTTAATTGGCAATCATATTTTTCTTATCTGGGTCACATGATAACAATAATATAAAAATAAAAGTTTTACATGATAATGAGTTTGATGATTTGATGACAAGTTCTACTTTTGATTTAATAATAAAAATAAAATGACACTACGTGTTTTAAATTATATTCCACAATTACATTTACTTTAACAGCTTGTGGTTAGCAAAATATTTTAACAAACTTAGATATATATATATATAGGGGTTATATTAGGGTTGCACAATTCTGGAATTTGGTACCAATCAATACTGAAGTTTTAAAAACGTCCATTTCCTGATTAACTTTGGATAAAAATATCATTGTATTGTGATTACTGCTATAAAATAAATTCTTTTTTAATGTCTGGGTATAAAACTAAAACTTTTTTCCCTTTTGAACACAATATATTTTATTTTGAAAAACATTTCTAATTTTTTGAAACATAAAGGATGTCAAGCTAAAATAATTATTGACTTTTAAAGTCTTCAGTTGTTGCAAAAAACAGATTTTATTTTTACAATTTAAAACGGCATCTATAGATATCTTTACTGCTGAAGATACTGTTGTCCTAAAAAAAAAAAAAAAGAAAAGAAAAAAAAATCGTACACACCTAAGGAACGGTATTGCAGAAAATTTTGACTGTTTTAAAAACCGGGATTTCCTAAACCGCAGTATTCCTTGAAAACGGTTTTATATATATATATATATATATATATATATATATATATATATATATATATATATACACACACACACACACAGTTGAAGTCAAAATTATTAGGCCCCAGAGTTTTTGGCACGTTGTTAGTTTTTTCCCCAATTTCTGTGTAGCGGAGAGAAGATTTTTTTCAACAGATTTCTAAACATAATCGTTTTAATAACTCATCTTTAACTAATTTATTTTATCTTTGCCATGATTACAGTAAATAATATTTGACTAGATATTTTTCAAGACACTTCTATACAGCTTAAAGTGACATTTAAAGGCTTAACTAGGTTAACTAGGCAGGTTATGCCGAGTTCAGACTGCATGATTTTCAAAGTAGTCGTGTCACAGATGTTTTCACACTGCATGACTATCTGGGCCAGCATTTCATCGCTGCTTTGTTTACACTGCAAAAGGGATCGGCGGCATGGACTTTCACATTGCATGACTTTACAATAGAAAGAATCGCCGACAACTTCGTCCAAACTACGTCTCACAGCCAAAAACACGTAGTAGCCAATATCTTTTGTTATTAACTACAGAATGAGAAAGAAGCCTTTAATGGGGTAAAAAATGTACATATTTGCTCACCTGGGTTTAAAGGGAATTGGCCATTTCTCCTCAACTTAGGTTGATAATAAAGTAATTTCTTTTTGTATGAAACTTCAAACAGACACGCTTGCTCCTGAGTCCTGTCAAACCTCCACTAGTTTTTCCTCCATTTCGTGGGTCCAAATTACCCGAAAATGAACTTCTCCCCCTGCCTCCCGCTGGCCTGCAGCAGATATACACACACACACACACACACAGTGAAGTGAATGCCGCTCTCTCATTGGCTGTAGGCGATCGTCGATGTAATTTTTTAGTCAAGACTCAATTCACACGGCATGATTTGAATCGCCGACAGCTCCAGATATTTAGCACAGCAAATATCTCACAGGCATCGGCGACTCATCAGCGATTCTTTCAGATCGCGTCTTTGATAGTTCATACTGTGTGATTGTCACTCACGTGCACGAGCACCGATTTGCCTGTGATTTCAGACATTTGTCTGCGATTTCTCAAAACCTGTCGGCGAGCCAAAATCGGGGCCAAAATCACGCAGTCTGAACTAGGCATTAGGGTAATTAGGCAAGTTTTTGTATAACGATGGTTTGTTCTGTAGACTATCAAAAAAAGAAATTGCTTAAAGTACAGTTTTCAAACTCAATTCCTGGAGAGCTGCAGCTCTGCACAGTTTAGTTCCATCCCTAATTAACATTAAACTTTTTAATTGTGTCTTTCAGGCTTGTTTGAAACCTACAGGTAAGTGTGTTGGAGCAGGGTTGGAACTAAACTGTGCAGTGCTGCGGCCCTCCAGAAACTCAGTTTGACATCCTTGGCTTACAGGGACGAATAATTTTGACCCTAAAAAGTTTTTAAAATAATTTAATACTGCTTTTATTGTAGCCGAAATAAAACAAGTAAGACTTTCTCCTTAAGAAAAAAACACCAGACATTCTGAGAAAATTTTCGTTCTCTGTTGAATTTAATTTGGGTTATATTTGGGTTGGTTTAAATGTTTAAAAAAGAAAAACAAATTCAAAGGGTGGCTGATAATTCTCACTTCAACTGTATATATGTATATCTATATATGTGTGTGTGTATATATGTATGTATGTATAAACAAACACATTTTGCCTTTTCTAATCATGTATCTTGTTCTTCAGGTAACATCCAGAAGTCGAGACAATGACCCCAATGACTACGTAGAGCAGGATGGTGGGTCACGTTTCGATCTATAGATTTTTTTGTTGTTGTTGGATTTTCATTCACTAATTGTATCTTTGGCACAGACATCCTGCTGGTAAAGCTGAGGAAGGGTCAAGAGCTGCGGCTCAGAGCTTACGCTAAAAAAGGCTTCGGCAAGGAACACGCCAAGTGGAATCCCACTGCAGGGGTGGCGTTCGAGTATGACCCAGACAATGCGCTGAGACACACAGTCTACCCTATTCCACAGGAATGGTATGGCCCTTACTGCTGGTTTAGATCATGCTGCTATCAATTAAATGAGTATTTTTTGCAATTTACAAGCGTGTCATCAGGTACATAACGGGCCAAAATGCATTCATGTGTGTCTTTGTTCAACTGTCAGGCCTAAAAGTGAATATTCAGAGATTGAAGAAGATGGGGTTCAGGCTCAATATGATCCTAATGGCAAACCAGAAAGGTAAAGTAATTTGAACCCATATGTTTGTTAAATTTCTATTTCTAGTGTAATAGAGGTTTAATTCAAAAAAAGAGCATGCCAGCACAGATCTACATGATTTATTGCATTTATTTTCATTCAGGTTCTATTACAACGTAGAGTCCTGCGGTTCACTTCGACCGGAGACCATCGTCATGTCTGCTCTTGCTATGCTTAAGAAGAAACTGAGTGATTTACAGACACAACTCAGTCATGAGATTCAAAGCGATGTGCTCACCATTAATTAAACTGCTTTTTCAGGGGTATATATGTATTTTTTTTCAGCTGTTTGTTTGCATCAGATTGGTGTAGAATTCTATACATAATAAACACACAAACACATTGCGTCATGTTAATGACTTGCACAATATGGGAGAAAATACTGTGTATGAACACTAGAGTGCAGGCTTTGTGTTGAAAAATATGATTTCGTTCATTTATATATGATTGAAACATGAAAAGGCTGTGTAATATGGTCATGACAGTGACAGATCATTTATAACAGCATGCTGATAATGGGAACATTTTATTTCAGGCTAAAATAAATAAAACAAACTCTGATAATGGATGTAAGAAATGAACAGAAACCCACCCGGAGACAATGTAAACAAAACGCATGGAAATAAACAAGAGCGATATGAGTTAGACAACAGATTGTGCAATCATATTTATTCGTCCCGTAAAGTTTTGGTTGCTTCAAATACATATAGTATCGAGGGATTTCGAGGAAAAGTGCAGTCACAAATAATTTCTATCTTTGATTTTAATCATGGATTCTAGTTTAGCACAAAATTACAGCAACATAGATCAAGTGAATGCATTCCCCACAAGAAGTGTGTGAGAGACATCTATGAAGAAGAAACAGAAATCCAGCTCCAATTAGACAGGCCCTTTCTGCATCTTCATGTTATAAAATTGCGTTTTCAAAATAGGATTCTTCGTACACAAATGGTTTCAGTGCTGCCACTGTCAGTTGCCAGAAATATAAAGTCAGCTTTCAGATACTGTAAAGATACGGTTACACATGCCATGTTTCAGAGGAATTTCGCGGGCAAATGTGACGCTCAACAGGTCAGTTCATTACGTTTCATGTGCTCGCCTGCTCGGTGGTATTCAAATTAATATTTTCATAACAGAATTATCAGTTTTAGAGACTGATATTGTATCTATAAATATAGACTAGTACTTATTAAATACTAGACTATATGGGCCTAATTAATAACGAACCATCAGTGTTACTAGCAAATTTAAGATTTTTGTCATTAACTGTTCTTCAGATACTTTTGGTGTGAAATAAAATTTAACTAAACTAGTGTTTAATGAAGTACTAGTACAATAACAATATTTAATGTAACTAAACTAGTGTTTAATGAAGTACTAGTACAATAACTTGATATTTAATGTAACTAAACTAGTGTTTAATGAAGTACTTGTACAATAACTTGGTATTTATTAAGTGGTATAGTGGCCTGTCTAATAAGTGCTACCCAATATTTATGTATTAGCAGGCTAGCATTTAATATCAATAAGCATTTGTAGCTAACAAGTAGCTACAAGTTGGCTACTTGATACAAAAGGTAGTAGCAAGAAAATAGCCAACTATTATGTTTACGTAAATTAAATGTTAAAAATGGTTAGAAATAATCACAATTAATAATACCTTAAATCCTCCTCGTTTTATCATAACGTTACTCCTGTTCATCTCCTTTTTTAACCGTCAGCGAGCGAGGTGTGACGACGTTTTCAGTTTGTTCATCTGATTTCGGCGGCAATTCCAATTCGAAACGCCCGCGAAATTTCTCAGAGCAGAGGTAAATGTGACCGCATGCTAGGTAAGTGGGCTAAAATATGTGCTCATTTAGTTTTTCCGTCAAGTATAGACACCACACAAATCTACATTTGAACTTCTTTCTTTAATTACATAGTCTAAAAGAAGCAGGTGACAGCCATTATCTCAATATTTTTCATATCTTCTAATTCACTGAGACCTATGTATATGTAAATTTCAGTTCATAATAGTATACTGTACCGTGGAATACTGGCAAAGAAAGACCAAACAGTGTTCTTTAAATTTGTGTATTGCTTCTTACTGATACCACATAGATTTTTGGCACACCACATATCAGAGTTAAATGTCATAAAAATTTCATAAATATTTCTATAAATCTTTAAAATACTGTGCTGTTTCCTAAAATAAGATATATAGAGATGATAACTCTAACTCCTCTAAGGTCGAGAGATAAGCAAACATATATATATATATATTTATATATATATAATTTATTTCTGAATCTCTTCACTGCATACTTTAAACGCTTATCAACTTCATTTCATTCACAGCCATTCTCCACATCTATCGCCTTTCCCTCAGTTCTGTCGTTACCCACAGTGCTTTGAACTTAATACTGAAGGTGAAATGTGTAATGCTGGCTGTCCCTTCGTGTCTCTGTGATGTATTTAATCATGAATATGAATATTATTTCCAGTCCATACCTGTGGGATTTTATGGCATTTACAGTCAAATGAGATTGATAGATCTCTAAAAAAAAAAACAAGTCTAACAATGAGAAAATCACAACTAAACTTTAGAGGACCTAGAGATGTTGTGGTGTGTCAAATTGCAACACGGATAGGCACACATTGCAGTTACATTTTAAAAATAATAACATAATAAGACAGCAAAATCATAACCTCCCCCAGCAAAGCAAAAGAATTGCAGGACTTGAAATAAAAAGTAAAAGCACTTTGATTTTTGACCAAAACTGAAAATTTGAATTTACACCCGGTGATCCCACTTCAAATTTGTTGCAATGGTTGAGTTGCAAACAATAATAACGGTAATAAAAAACCACCCAAATCAAATTTTGATAAAAGGAAAACAAATAAATACTACTAAACAATATACACATATGAAGTCCTGTATCAGTTACAATTGACGACATTGATATGTATAGATTAAGGAGGTTTCCTGGAGTTTGGACATTTCTTTTTACCACCCAACAATCAAATGATTTATCAAATTAGAATTACACTAAAAATAATAAGAAGATTAATAAGAATAATGAAGAAATAAATGAAGTATTCATCACACATTTAAAGCAAAAGACATACATACTGGCCCTTTCAGAGTGATTGTGTCAGCATTCAACTCAAAGCTGGCAAATTCAACAAAACCAAATTTCTACTTGAATTCAGTTCGATTCTGTTGAAGCATTCACATGTTTTCCTGTGAAGACCCTTTTTTTTTCAATTCAAAAACTGCTGGAAATTAATACTGAGTAGCAACAGCGCAACCTAGTGTTGACTGAAGGTACAAATACAATGTTGCTGGGAATGCAGTTGACCTCCTTACCGAATGGAAGACACCTAATAGTAAACCACAATTCAGAAAGACCCAAGAGAATTGTTGATCATTCAAACAAACATCCAATGTTATCTTATTACAATGGTGGAGAGACCTGCTGCTTGCTACGGTTACGTTGTTCACACGTAAGGAGATTTTAACTCTGTTTCAAGTGACCACGGCCCTTCTAGGACTGTCAGCGAATGAACTGAGGGATGTCTAAATGCTCGCATCTCAGAGATTCGTGTACCTCTTGGTTGAAGGTGTATGAGGAGGGAAAAAAAGCAAGATATTTATTTCATAGGCAGCTGATACATAGACAAAGGTTCCCTTTTTTCCTGAAGAAATATTCTCTGTAGAATTGTCTTAGCAAAGATAGAAAATGGATCCCCAGCTCTGCTGGTTTCAGTGCATTCAAAGGAGGCCAAAATCCTTAAAAGCCAAAGGATAGTCAGCTCATGTTTGTAGTTTCCATACAGTGTGTTGGCTTCAATGTCCTCTCTGGTGCTGGAGCTCTTGGAACATAAATGCAGGGAACCGCTTGTGCTTGCGCGGATATTTTGAACGCTTGAGTTTCTTCAGGATGTGAGAGTTCCTAAAATCCACCGAAAGCATGATAGGACAACAAAGTGTTCAAATTAGTGAACCGAAATAAGGGAAGAGGGAAAACGAAGCTTATGAACAAGATGCGCCGAGTCCTGTGGAGGACGTCTCGCCCAGTCTCATCTGTCCAAAAGGACTTTAAGCGCCCGCTCGATGTTCATTCTGTGACCCACACGAGTCACACCCAAGTCGATCAGATCCTCCTTTTGCAGGTTTGGCAGGTGGCTGCCCTCTATATCATTGTCCATAAAGGCATCCCTGTGCTCACCCAGGTTCAGGCTCTCGAGCCAGTCGGCCACATCCTGCTTGCTCCACAAGAGAACAGGTTTGGTGGCAAAGGGCTTATTTGATGCAGCCTGGATGAGGGTGAGTGGGGAAGGGGAGCGGCTACGCCCTGTGCCCAGGCTGAGGGGCGGTGTGGGCAGGCCAAAGACGTCCGTCATGGTGGGGGAAGTGGCCGAGGTTGGGAGGGAAGAGGCACAGCTGAGGCCAGAGTCCGGTGGGGACATGATAGGGCTTGGGGTGTGGTGGTGGGGAGGCAGGCTCTCTGCCTGTCGGCACGGTGACGGGGCAGGCACGTTGGGGCCAGGCTGGGCAGTGAAGGTAACGGTGGTGTTTTGCTGTGTACCTGAGATGAGGGATACACCATCCTGATTTCTGCAATGACAGAAGGATAAACATGAGGAATACATATAAGGAGGAAAAACATGAGGGAACATGTACAGCTACATCCTAGCTAAAAAAAAAATCTAGAATGCTTTAAGTGGTTGGTAAAGCTGAGCATTGTTGTGTGGTTTATGTAATCTTTTCACCTTTTTAGAATATTGTTATGAAGTTATTAGCATGTTCTGGGCATTGATAGTCCAAGTTAACTGTTTGTATGATTTTATTTGCTCCCAGGTGGAATTTTTAGTTGACATTTTTCAAAAGTGCCACTGAAACAAAAACCTACTAACCTCTGGAAAAGTGTTTTTATGCAAGGGACAGCTGAGACAAGAGACTTACAAAATACAAAATATTATGTGTCCCAATAGAAAAACAAGAAAAAATGTTGAGGGCAAAATAAGCGTATTGAAACCCAAGTGCACTGAAAGTATGAGTGTAATGTAGGTGGTTTGGTTTAAAGGAAGCAGAGAATGTGAGGTTCTTTAGAATAAAATGTCCTTGCCCCAGGTTTCTCCTTATACCCAAGGTGAGCTGGCCTAGATTTGTTGTCGACACATAAACTTTTACATTTGCATCTTATGTAACATAGCAAATAAAACCAAACACACTCATATAAACAGTACTCAACAACTCTAGACTGATACAAAAACATCAATAAATACGCAACATCAATACAATGTACAAGTTACACATTTAGCCCAGATCATAAGAATAAAAATACACCAATTCAGTGATTCAAATAAATAACGCTAGCTTTCAAAACAACAACAAAAAATAATCTATTTCTATTTATTGTGAGAGAAAAAAAAAAAGAAAAAAAACTCTTTGCTTAGTGTGTGCTAAACATAGCGCTCTGCCTGGGCTACAAGTGCATTTTGGGGTCAGTTCTTTGGTCTGTAAATAACTAAATCATTTAATAATAAATGAGACTTGGGACTTCATGTTGATGGCAAACCACTGTCTGTGCTATGTGGAATCCATCAGCATACGCAACCTTTGCACATGCACATCAGTGTTCATTTTGCTCATCTTTGCAAACTAAATGACATAAGCTTTAAAACCAAATTAGCTTTCTCTGTAGGAATTGTAAGTTGAAAAAAAAACAAATATTTATTAAAACAATTGTAAAACACTAAATACAAAACAATTTGTCCTTAGTATTTTATTATATTTAGGAGTATATTTATGAGCTCAAAATATAAATATGATTTTAATGCATTGTACCATTCTCCTTGCATCATCAGTACTTTGTTACTTAGTATAAGTTACTTATACTCAGAGCATTCTAAATCAGTTAATATTAGGTTTATTTTAGTATTGATGCAGCCATAAAAACAGCCTATGTTGGCAGCAACCAGCAAGACAGCTCAGTGGGCTTTCTCAAAATAGTACTAGCTCCTTATAATTGTAAATGCTTTTGTCTAAATTAAATATTCCTTTAAAAAGCCTTTAGGAGATTACTTAAGATAATCTAGACATGTCTTGGGGGAGCAGTTTGGGTGCTGTGACAACTACGTAACAAATGGACCATGTTGTAACAACACACACCTCCCCCTTCTGTGGTATGGTCTGTGTTCATCATCACACTGACGTTGCTCATCTCGTCCTCAAGGCTGTTCTCATTATTGGGTTGCTAGGCAACTCTTTCGTTCTCCAGCAGAGCACACACACTAATCTGAGAGCCTAAATGTAAGCCTGTGATACAGTAAGGAAAGAGGGCATACCTTGTTCCAAAGTGAGTCCTGGATCCAGTCGGAGAGTCTAACGCTTCCCCTGGCTTTGGTGCTTTGTCCTTGTTCACATGCTGCAGAACTGAATTGGTTTCAGGCCCATGGGGTCCTTTCATCTCCGGAGGGTCACCCCACAGCTTTGAGGTTCGTTGCGTTGGGGTTTTCAAGGGTTCTGGTGGAATAGATCCAGGGGGTGGAGGTGGGACAGAGGAGGGCATTCTGAAAGAGCCTACGTTCTCCTCAGGCAAAGAGTCCTTGTAAAGTGCATTGCTCTTGATGGCAGGTTTGGGTTTTGGTTTAGACAGGATTTGAGACCTGTCCACCAGAAAGGCTTGTCCATCTGCATAGACGGTGCACGTATCCAGGGTCTCACCTCCTTCAGAAGACAGGGTGGAGATGCTGGACACAGTAGAGATGGTGCTGGTGGTCTCCAGTTGGGGGTCACCACTGCTCCGGCTGTCTACCTCAATGCCCGAGTCAGTGATTTGTTCATAGGGCTCTAGAGGCCCAGGAGGGAAGCTGGGAGGTGTGCAATTTGTGAGGACTGTTGATCTTTTGATTTCAGCATGCCCTCCACCTAACGCGGGATAGTAGGGAGCAAGAGAAGGCCCTTTTGTACCATTTGCTTTCTGTTTGAGTAGTTCAGCTATACTTCCTGCCTGGTCTTCAGGAATGTCAAAACTGTTGGCAAACTCCAGTGGGGGTGGTAAGGGTTCTGCAAACACAAACTCTTCATCGATGTCGACAGAGGCCAAGGGCGGTGGAGGGATGCCGAAGGGCAGCTTCACAGGCTCATCCACTGAGCTAACAGTTATAATGGTCTTGCCATGTGGAGCAGCTGATAGCGCCTTGGGGGCTGGGGGGTTGGTGGGAGCTGGCTGGTTGGGGTCGCGAAGCTCCCCAGGGGTGTTGTCGGGACTCACTCCCTCGTCCCTTTCGCCCTCTGACAAGCTGTTATCCTCAGATTTTGCCCCATCTGTGGTGTGCACCATCAGCAGACCAGCTGACTTCTGCTGAGAAGTGTCCACAATGTCAATCAGCATGTTTTTCTTCTCCTCAGGCCTCTTTTCGGGCTTGCCCAAATCGAGCTGATACTTGGATTCTGTCTCATATTTGGACTCAGTCATCTGCCTCCTCAAGCCCCCACGGGGACGGCCCATGGTAGCAGTACTTGAGAAGCCAACCTCCACATTTGGTCTAAGCTTGGTGTCGATGAAAAGCGGTTTATTGAGATCAAGTTTGGATGGGTCACTTTTTAATGGAAGAGGCTGTGATTGATCCCTCATGGCTCGGTCTCTGGCAGCTAATGCTAAAGCTAATGGTGAGTTGGGGTCAAGTGGCTTGCCTGTTACTGGGTGAACGTAATTCCCACTTCCTGAGCTGTAGGTCTTATGAGCAGGCAGACTGATTGGGCTGTGTCCTGTACGAGTGTTCAACAGTTCCCTTACCATGGTGGGTTCGGGACTGTTGAAGTCTGTCACATTGCCACCACCTCTAGGGATGCTAAGAAGTGATGAGGGAGGTGCCATGAGCCTACGCAGCCGCTCATCGCTGCTAAACATGCCCTCATCAATAGACTTGGAGTGTCGAAGCCTTGGGGTAGGTGTAGGAACCACATCTTCATCACCAGCATCTGTAGACCTAAAAGATGGTGAGTTGCGATGAGAATCAAGCCTTTTTTCCCTGTCTCTGACAGCACCAGCAATGGCAGCTGCAAATGGACTGCCTGGATTTAGGCCATCTTCAGGACGCAACTGCCCTGGGTGATCTGGAGTGGTCGTCTCAATTTCCATGCTGCTTCCTTGACTGCTTTTGCCGCTGCTGCTGGTGGAGGGCTCTTTGATTATTATTGTCGGAATAGGAATGGAGCAGGTCTTCTCAGGACTGTCCTCTACGTTGGACTGTTTGACAAGCATTCCCTTTCTTCTGGCAGGCTTGTTGGGCACAAACAGTCCAGCTTGACCCATCTTACCAACATCTGAGTAAGGGTTCTCAGGGATTTGGGCACGGCGCATATGAAGACTCTGCTGGGCCGTGGGGCTGTGATTGTACCCCTCAGAATCATACTGCTCGGGATTGTCTCTGTAATACTTGCCCTGATCTCTCCACCCAGCACCTTCTCCTCTCTCCGGGGCTGTGCTGTTTGCATTAGGACTCTGTGAAGTAAAACCTGCTCTGATGGTGCCGTATCCTCGACCAGCTGGGACAGGAGCATTATTATGAGGTGGAGATGGAGGGGAGATAGCTGGTGGGGGTGGAATATCCTCTGATGTGTCAGGCATCGAAAGGCTTCTTGTAAATTTCAACATTGGAGGAGTAAGGAACTGCTTCTCTTCTTCGGTTACTCCTGTAAAGAAATAAAAGAATAAAATTCATACCAAACACGTCAACAAGACTGGGGGTGTAATTACCATACAGAAACAATAAATATGACATTACAAAGCAAATGTTACATCTTGAAAATAAATCAGATTAATGGAAAAGCCTCCAGCAACAGTGGGCTGACCACTGAGTGTAGTAGGCCAATTATTTGTTTCATTTGACAAAGCTCTGAATGAGTTTTGTGTGCAATATATCAAAATAAAGATGTACTTGAGTGTGCAAAACAAAACAATCCACACACCTATGGATGTTTGCCGCCGTATGGTTCCCCTTGGTAGACCCAGAAAAGGGCCTCTAGGACTCCCTGGCTGTGGTGACGAATCTACTGCTGTATCCTGACTATTGCAGAGAGACTGCAAAAGAAAGAACAAGGCTGACATGATAATAAGGACAAGCATAATGCAGCACTTTTTGTAGAGCACCTATTCAAACTAGGCTTCTCACATTTTGAAACAAATTTATAAAAAGGGATTGAGACAAATATATAGAAATAATCTATAACATACTCACAACCCTGTGCATAATTCCACTCTAATTTAAGCATCAAAATCCAACATCACGTGCATAGCCAGTGGTTATATGAGACTTGTGAATAGCGGTTATTGCAGTTAGCCTACAATACAATTATCAACAATCACAGGAGACCGAAGCTCTAGGGGATATTACACAAGGCACGCTTACATTCATTTCAGGGCTGACAGGAAAACATTTGCTAGTTGGACGTGGCTTGACCGTCGCCACTCTCACTTCTGCATTTGAGTTGTCCCATATGGGTTTCTGAGGAGGTACGACTTCATCCACTTTATCTGTAAGACAACAGCATCTCAAATTAGAAAGCAGGAAGCAACATTTAAAATAAGCTCAGTATCAAATATTGCTAATTTCCTCTAAGAGGATCCCCAGTGCAAGGATCCAAACCGAGCAAGAGAGGCGACAGAAATAGGTACAACAACAATGGTCAAGGTCAAAGCCGTGCAAGCGCTTCCTGGCTGCGTTGGAGAAATCTTAGCACTTCTTTCAACGGCCACTGTGCAACATGCTAGCTTTTTATTTATTTTTTAAGACAGCTCCCATGCATGGGATGATTACTTAGTGTGACTTGAAATACAATCCTCTTCTTCAGACCCTCATTATCTGAAAGCTGATCATCTACACAGAAATGGAGGAAAGGGAAATTCAGTTTCTGATATCCTAGCATAAAAGTCATCAAGACTGAATATGGTTACACACAAACACACAAACACACATGAAACGCCTTTACACCTGGTAATTAATTAACTACATTTAAAGAGACAGTTCACCCTCAAATAAAGTTTCTGGCATCATTTACTCACCCTCCACTTGTTCCAAACCAGTTTGTTTGTTGAACACAAAATAATATTCAAAGCAAATGTCTTCTACTCTATTTTGTCCTACTATGGAAAGCTTTATTCATAATATCTTCATTTGTGTTTAACAGAAAAACTGAATGAAAGAAATTCATAAATGTTTTGAACCATTTTAGGCCGAGTAAATGATGACAACCCAGCAGGCACACAATGTCATAAGACATTAATATTAGGTTAGCTTTAGGTTGTGAGTCAGCGTCTAAGGACAAAGTTATTTTGACATCGAATAACGATGTCAAATGACATTGATATTTAGTTGATTTTAGATTGGGTTGGAAAGTGACCAAAATCCAACGCCATATTGACCTTAAATACTGACATTTACATTGTCAGGTATGGCAACCAAAATTCAACGTTTGATAGACGCCATAGTGATAATGTCCACACAACGTCAAGCTGTAACATCATTAAACGCTGATATTTGCTTGATTTTTAGGTTGGACATTGGAGATTGACATCGACCTGACGTTGGGTTCTGCCTTCATCTCGCTTTTCATTTTCAACCAAAATGCAGCGTTGGGGTACAACGTCAAATTTATGTCATGTTGACATCCTGTGCCTGCTGGAAAAATAATAATTTTGGTGATTAATTCCTTTTCTGTGTCATTAGCATTACAGAACATCTAAAAAGGATTTCTGTCATTTTGAAAGGTAAAGTAAAGTACTTTGTTGATAAACAGTATTAAACAAGCCCAATTTAAAGCATTGAAATGTTAAAAATAAAATTTTTATATACAATTTGTGAGATTCAAGCATCCCAGTGAAAAAGATTTAATCATTAAATAGATAAACCAGCATGCACTAACCACAATATTTCTGTTGTCCAATAATGAAATAAGCATTACAGTTTAAACCTTTATAAAAAACTTGTAAGACTCTAAACAGAACAAGATTAAAACATAGTTTCAGTTATCTGTGAGCTATTTATGTGCTGAACATCCAAATGTGATCTGGAAATGCATTTTAATATCAGAAGTAAAGGGGTCACCAGTTACATGTCTTCATTCTGCAATTATATACACTTCGAAAATACTCCTGAGGCAAAACAAGAATTAAAAACTGCCCATTAAGGAGAATGTGTTCTGTAGTTAATATTCATACCACAGAGTATATATCAGAGACTGCAGGAAGAGTTTGAAGTTATATAAATATATATATATATATTCATAAATTTTCCTTTAGCTTAGGCCCTTATTTTTCAGGTGTCACCACTGTGGAATGAACCACCAACTATTCCAACACATGTTTTTATGCAGCGGATAATAGTTATATATTTATATATAGAAACACTACCTGACAAAAGTCTTATCGACTATCCAAGTCTATCCAGAAGTGGCTTATATGAAAGGCAAAGGCCTCTAGATTACGTCATGATTTTCAATTGTTTATTTAGAACAGTAAGGTCTGACTTTGTTTAGACAAAAGTCTTTTCACTTAACAGGAATAATGTGCAGTATAGGAAATAAAGTAATGGTGCAGTGGAAAAAGAATTATTACTGTGTCTGACTCCAATGAGCTTGGAGGACTGCATCCATACATCTCTGCAATGAATCAAATAACTCAATAATAAAATCATCCGGAATGGCAAAGAAAGCGTTCTTGCAGGACACCCAGAGTTCACCAAGATTCTTTGGATTCATCTTCAACGCCTCCTCCTTCATCTTACCCCAGACATGCTCAATAATGTTCATGTCTGGTGATTGGGCTGGCCAATCCTGAAGCACTTTGACCTTATTTGCTTTCAGGAATTTTGATGTAGAGGCCAAAGTATGAGAAGGAGGTCTTATGAGCCTGTGGTTTGTAATGTAATGGGCATCATAAATGTCTTGATATCCCAGCCTGTTGATGTTGCCATCCACTCTGCAGATCTATCAAACAACCCCAGACTGAATGTAACCACAAACCATGACTTTTCCTTCACCAAACTTGACTGATTTCTGTGAAAATCTTGGGTCCAGTGGGTTTTAATATTTCTTCTGAAGTATTTGTGATGATGGGGATGCAGTTCAACAGATAATTCATAGAAAAAATTTATCTTCTGCTATATTTCCAAACGATCAACCAGAAATCAAGTTATTATTTGTTGCTCTTACAACTGGCATTAACGACAAGATTTTTGTGAGGTACTTTGTGTGTGTGTGTTAGTACATATATATTAGTGCTGTCAAAATTAGTGCGTTAACGCATGTGATTAATTTGAAATATTTAAATAATTAATGCGTTAAAAAAGATTAACGCAGTTGCAGGTTTTTTTTTTTACTTCCTTTTGTGGTCGATGTGTGTTCAACATGCAAAGAAATATGGATAAGACCAAGGAAGCGCTTTATGAAGGCAAGTTTCAGTATAAAACAATTAATGTCGCATTACCAGGCCATCCAGCATTTCGTCTAGAGTTTCATGCATTTTTTAAGTGTTTCATTTTTAACTTTCGACTTTTGTTTTAATGAAATTTGATACCACATGGCGAACGGAAAGAAAAACCTCCGCCTTTTGTGACTCCGTGGTCCTTTAAGGTAATCAAAAATCGCTGCTTACATGATAGACTCTTAATAAGAGTATTATCCTAATCATATTAAAATCGGAGTATTCGTGTCTTATGTAAATGTACTCAGAAAGTGTCAGATGAAGTCACGAGCTGTCAAAGACAGCGCATTTTAATGCCTTTCAACATGCGCCCTCCAATGTTTCATTAAGTTTGATGTGTTTCCTCCTTAAACACATCGAAAGCGTATGCTTCGCGTTGTTGTGTCAAAATCCGTGTGAAATACAGCCATACTTTAGAACGGTTAGTTTAAGCAAATTTGATGAACGCACGTTGTGTGTGTGTGTGTGTGTGTGTCTGTTTGTGTGTCTGTGTCAGGCCTATGCAGGGACAGGTGCTCAAAATAATCGCAAAGTGAAGAGCAAGTGCCTCCTGAGAGTGCGCGCATGCGTTTCTTAGCAACAAACCTGCTTAAACGTTGTTGTCCATAGCCAGTAAATCAAAAAGTTACAAATTGCCGTGAGATTGCGTTGCACTCTCAGCTCACATCATTGAAAAGAAAAGGTCCACATAGTCCCCCGATAATTTCAACAGACAGGACTATTTTAGCAACTGGCTGAATGTAAAGGAGGACTGAGCAAAATTGTTTCTACTTTATAATTAATGTTCTCAATTCACAGCAATACAACTTTACAATGAGTGCAATTGTTTGTATCCAATACTTTATTATTATTATTATATTTTCCAACTTCCATATTTGCAGTGCCTGTATTTTGGCATTTTTTTGCAGTCCACTTAGAATCCAACTTGGAAATAATTTTTTTCTTTATTGGTATTGATTGGTTTAAAATTCAAATGGCATCAACATGCATGTGTTTTAATTTCTGTAATAAATATGGCTGTCAAGCCAGGATCTTGATGGTTTATTGTGGGTATGTTGTTTACATGAAGAAATCTGTGTTACAAATTAAACAAAAATTCTAATAAACAATTATTTTTAGAATTTAAATAGTTTTTGTCTTGCATTTACATTAATTTTACATTTGAATAGCTAAAATGATAAGTTTCAGTCTTTTAAATTTAAATAATCGTGATTAATTTTCAAAAAAGTGTGATTAATTACCTAATTTTTTAATCGATTGACAGCACTAATATATATATATATAGACACACACACACAGAGGTATGCAGCCAGCCACAATATGTAAGCATAAAACTAATGCTTACAACGATTTAGAAAATATCTCCATCTAGAAGGCAAAGGAGTCCATTCAGCAGTCTAAGACGTCATGTCATATCTGCGCAACATACGTCATACGTCGTCATAATTCTAATCGATGCTAAGTCTGGCGATAGCTTTACACTGAAAATATGGCATTACATTTTGCAGTTGGACCGTTTCTATATTAAACATATGCAGCATTATTTCCATGGCAACATCTTGTTTCAATGTGATTCAAAGCTGGAGTGGTCCCTTGTATGATGATAGATAGAAAGTACTTCTGTAAAGGGCGGAAATTATCTTAAAAAGTCCAGCTTTCAAATTTGATCTTCTCTCTGAGGAGAGAAATGGAGGCAGGATCCATTATATCGGTAGGAACAAGGGGAAATTCATGGCTCTTGTTTTCTGAAACAAATCCTTTTAGTAATCGAAGGCAGGCTGTTGAATAATAAATTCTTACATTGCACTTTTGAAGATCTAGAAGTCAATAAGTGAAGCTACAGGCTTATGGAGCCATTTGCAGTGTAAACACATTTCGTCTTCCAACTGGCAAATTTTGATTATTGGAAAGAGAATACAAATTATTAACACTGAATCATTTAAAACCCCAAAAAAGTTCAATTGTGTGAGAAAAATTAATCACTAAACTATGCTGAGGTGACAAATATTTAGGGAAGACTCACCCTTCTTTTTCCTCAAAGTGGCTTTAACATAAAAGAACAATTCAGCTTTAATCAAGCATTAAAATTCAGAGATAATTTCCAGAAAACATGACGAGAAGAACCAACGATTGGAATACACTGTATTCCTCCACATGGCATTGACCTGTGCATAATGTAATGCCATTTTAGATGGAAAGCAACAACAAATCCATGCAGTTAACTTTCCACCAACACTACACGAGACAAGTAGATTAGTATCCAATAAAGTGACAAAAAAGACAATTAGTCGCTGATTACACAATGTACACAAGAATTTAAGACGCATTGCTTACCCTTTGTGTCATAGTTTAATTACTGACAATGAAATCAGCATGACCCATCAAACCCTAGATTTATCTGTGATCACCAAAGTAAATCCTTCACAACCTGCTCACATGAAATGCATCATGCTTTAACAGTATCTAGTATTTTTGCTTTCATTAGTGAGAACTACACAAAAACTGTGACGAACACACAATGTGCATATAATCACAAATATACGTCACAAGAATATACATACTGTACAACAGATTGACTTGCATGCCAGGGAAGCACAACATAACAGGTTATATACAGCTTGTAATAAATGTTTGTGTAAATGATCACATCATACCTTTATCCACTTTTAGGTCAGCATGCAGGAAAACAAAACAACATCAGAGTTCATTTCATAATGAACGGTAGCTGTAGAACAACAAAAAGTGGCACAGGTTAACAACTAATTCTTCTGGACCATTCACGTAAGGCTTGTTTGTGATTTTGAAAACAACTACACTTAACAAAATGCGGTGAAACTAAACCTTGACATTAACTATATATATATATATAATATAACAGATCTCATGGTTTGAGACTGAAAAAAGAATAAAATATGAGTTAATATTGTAGCTGTATTTACAATATTGCTAGAATGTGACCCATGCAAATGCTCCCTTATGTTATGAATATGTATTAAAGGTGAAGTATGTTAGTGTTTTTATTGTTCATTGACTAATATAAATATGCCAATCATCTCTAACTAAAATGTAAATGTTGAGTCTTATGAGCAGCATGAGGAATCTGAACTCAGGAATCAAAAACTTTGTGGAATTTAATGAAATGTTTGGGTGTTAATCGAGATACCAAACTTGTGTTTCTTCTTAACTATTTTGTCTCGTTAAACCCCATAAAAATAGTTTTTAAAAATTAAGTATTAGAAAAATCTCAAGTTTGAGTTAGGAAGATGTAGCGATTCACTCTACTCGCGATTTGATACGATTCAAAATACTGATGTCACGATACGATTTATTTGAACAAAATAAGATAATTTAGCAATGAAGTAGTTTGCAATTGTAATATTTCCTTAAAAACATTTTTAAATAACAAAACTAAATTGCAATTTAGTTTACAATTCCAGAATCAACTTAATAAATCATATTACAAATAAAAAAAATAAGCAAATTAAGACTTTGTTGATGCTCTTCTTAGCAAGTTTTTTTGTTGAAGAGATATATTTTTTGAAATGAAGTCTGCACTGCGCGCTAGCATTTTTTTAACATTCAAAGGAGATACTAATGTGAAATAAAGCTACATAAAGTAATTGTTTAACAAGTGCGAATCATGACCCTCGTGAAAGAAACATTTTCTGGCACAAGCTGAGATCTCAAAAAAATAAGTGAAGTTTATTTATAAACTAATGTCGAGAGGAGCTGGAGCTGTTGCAGCTGGTCCCGCATTATCCAATTTATGATTCACCAGTCAGATGATTCCTAATACACTATAAATACTCTAAGTTTCATATCACAGCCATGTTCTTTTTGAAGAATCCCCCCTTCCACCCCTACTCCTCCTTCTTTCCTAGATGGGTGGCACGGTGGCCCAGTGGTTAGCACTGTTGCCTCACAGCTAGACGTCACTGGTTCTAGTCCTTACCAAGCCAGCCGACGTTTCTGTGCAGAGTTTACATGTTCTCCACGTGCTCACGTGTTTTTTTTTTCGGGTTCCCCAGTTTCTTCCCACCGTTCAAAAACATGCAACTTAAGTTAATTGACTAAATCCAAATCGCACCATAGACATGCTCCTAGTAAGTAGTTATCTCTTGAGAGCAATCACTATCTGTTCATTAGCTACTACAGCAGGGGAGTTCTTGAGATCTACCTGAGCTCAAACTCCCCTTACGCCTTCCAAATGGGAGGGAGCCCAGGGCTTGAGGATCTTATAAGCCCAGGGCTCTCTCCCGGGACAGCATGTCCAACAAGCTTTATAATCAATCATCAGCTAAGTGTGAACTCCTGAAATATATCTTCTTTACAAACTTTGAAATCACTTATCAAATGTGTGTGTGACAGTGAGAAATGTCATGTTCATTGTCATCAATTTAATAATATGACTAAACATAAAAAAATAGCGGAGATGAAGTGCAATAAAGTGGAGATCGCTAGAAGAGTAGACATGCGGACATCGGTGGATTGAGCTCCACTAGAGTGCACTATTTATTAACTCTGCATATTTTTACAAGCAAGTTAATCATTCTCTTTTCTTCGGCTTTATCCCTTATTCATCAGGGGTCGCCAAAGTGGAATGAACTGCCAACATTTACAGCATATGTTTTACACAACGTATGCCCTTCCTGCCACAACCCAGTACTGGGAAACATCCATAGACTCTCACATTTACACACAATCAAACACTACGGCCAATTTAGTTCATCCAATTTACTTATTCCCTTATAGGAAGACCGGAGCACCCGGAGGAAACCCACATGAACACGGGAAGAACATGCAAACTCAACATAGAAATGCCAACTGGCCCAGCCAGAACTCAAACTAGCAACCTTGCTGAGGGGCAACAGTGCTAACCACTGAGCCACTGTGTCACCCCCAAATTATATTGTATAAAATAAATGATAGATCGTACTGCCTTTGTGACAACACAGACTAAAAATCTAGCTTTCACAAACCGGCACTCCTCTAATTTGAATAAAGATGGAGCTGCTTAAAACATATATGCACCCTTTTCACATGTTCAGGTTTTCTTATGCCAAGTTCAGACTGCATGATTTTAGACCTGATTTTCACTCGCTGACAGGTTTTGATAAATCACAGACAAATGCCTAAAACCACAGGCAAAGCGGTGCTTGTTCACGTGAGTAACAATCACGCAGTGTGAACTATCAAAAACGTGTTCTGAGAGAATTGCAGATGAGTCGCCGATAACCATCAGATATTCTGCATGCTAAATATCTGGAGCTATCTGCGATTCAAATCATGTCTGGAAGCCAGACTTGGTCCAGTCATGTACCGTAATTCACTGCGGCATGTGGACTAAGCAAAAGCTTGTTGTGTGGACCAGAACTGGGCCAGAGATATTTTGCTATGGGAGCAGTAAATGCATCCTATGAAAAGGGTTCATTATGATCCATTTAATATCCTGATTGATTTGAATCAACAAATATTTGAATCAATTTTCAACTGACTCACAGTGAATCGTTACAAACCTAAGTGAGTGATGAGTTTAAGCGATACTTTAAAAATAACAATTACTTTTTAGATCTCCCTCTACTCAACTACACACTTCACCTTTAAATGACAACAGAAATTGGATGGGATGCTTCTGCTTGGCGTGACTGGGCTTACCTAGGTCTTCTAGCTCTGAGGTCATAGATTTTGAACGCATGGACAAGGCTGTGGAGGGAGCCCTCCGTGGTGGCGGTGGCGCTACAGCAACAAACAAAACAAAAAATACAGCAGGTACAGTTGATGCTTGACCATGGGCTGTAGCATTCCCATGAGGAAGCACGGTATATTCAACATCAACTCATGCATTAAAAGGTTTGACGATTCTCAAATTAGTAGTGTTAGTTAAAACTGGGGTAACACTTTATTTTGATAGGCCATTCGAGTATTAGTAGACTGTCTGCTCAATATCTGTTGATACTACTGTTGATGCTAAACAAACATTAGTACATGTCAACTTACACTAACCCTAACCCCAGTCCTAACCAGTCCTAGAATAAGTTGGCATGTACAGTAGATGCAACAAACAGACCATCAAAATAAAGTGTGACCAAAATAAGTGCTTGTTATGCAAAAGCAATGGTTAGAATTACGTGAAAGGAGTTTTTTCTGCTAAACACGTTACATCATGACCCAGAAAATACATCAAGACGCTCACTGTACCTTTCTTTCGAGCCGTGTCGTCAGGGTCTAGATTTCGACTGACCGTTACCACTTTGATGATTAAGTGGTTGCCACCATGACGAATCATGTTGACCACTTGTTTGTGGCCCACTTTGACAACGTTATCCTGGTTCACCTATAAAAAAGGAAAAATAATTAAGCATCAGCAGTGAACAAATCATCAATATCAACCTTTTCTGCAACTTCCTATGTCATGCGAATATGTGCAATAAATAATCAAATGCACTGTTGTTGTAAAATGGCAGTGCTGTGCATAATTAATTTCAAGCTTTTCACCATTTAAAAACACCATGAAAAGTTTTATATGCGCAATGTTTTGTGCAAAAATGTTCAGTTTTTAGTACATCACAACATTGACAGCCAGACCACAACCATGTTCAAAGCTAAATATTATCATACAGCTTAATGGAAACTACACACTACAAATTGCAGAGAAATTCTGGAAAAAATGACCATTAATGCTGAAAAGTACATATATGCTGCCTTCTTTTAAACTCAGACAAAACAGAATTATTACTTATTGGGCCTAAATCTTGCACACAGCAGATCTCACAACTCAATTTACATTAGAGGGATACAAAGTTAGTTTTAGCTTTACTATAAAAGATTTGGGTGTCATATTTCACAGCAATCTAACTTTTAAAAACCATATATCCCATGTCACAAAAACTGCCTTCTTTCATTTGAGAAATATCGCTAAATTACGTAATATGCTATCCATCTCAGATGCAGAAAAGCTAGTCCATGCTTTTATGACTTCGAGACTGGATTACTGTAATGCTCTATTTGCTGGCTGCCCAGCATCCTCTATTAACAAACTTCAATTAGTACAAAATGCAGCAGCCAGAGTTCTGACCAGGTCTAGAAAATATGATCATATAACCTCAATTTTATCCTCTCTACACTGGCTGCCTGTTAAGTTTCGTATTGAATTTAAAATATTACTTCTCACCTACAAAGCTCTAAATAATCTAGCTCTTGTTTATCTAACCAACCTTCTGTCTCGCTACAAACCAACTCGCTCTTTAAGATCTCAAAACACAGGGCTTCTGGTAGTACCTAGAATAGCAAAATCAAGTAAAGGAGGTCGAGCCTTCTCTTTCATGGCTCCTACACTCTGGAATAGCCTTCCTGATAACGTCCGAGGCTCAGACACACTCTCCCAGTTCAAAACTAGATTAAAGACCTATCTGTTTAGTAAAGCATACACTCAATGCATTACCTAGCGGGTTCCACACAGGCTTCTGCATCTTGCTTATATACACTATGAACAGCAGCTACGCTAATTATTTTCTTTATTCTCTATTTTCACCTGGGGATACTCATCCCGAGGTCCTCAGATTATGCTGAGTCACTGATTGGATCCAAGACCAGCGACGTGATGATCCCAAGGATTCCATATCCGGGACCAGGCCATATCCTGAGCTGCTGCTGCGCTGATGGTCGTGGGTAGTGGAGAACATTAGTCTGATTCCAGCGACGTCCCAGGGACAGACGAGTCTTCGCTGAGGCCATCTTCCAGCCTTAACCACGGCGAATGAAGTTCTGCACAAGACTTTTGGCCAGCGGAGAAATTAAAATGGTCGTGCCCAACTGAGTCTGGTTCCCTCAAGGTTTTTTTTCTTCACTCCCATCAGGTGAAGTTTTTTTTCCCTCTCCGCTGTCGCCACTGCCTCGCATTGTTCAGGATTGGTAAAGCTACGCATCGATGAATTGGCTCTTCAGTGTTTGAACTCTCAGTAATGATTAAATCACACTGAACTGAGCTAAACTGAACTGAACTGAACTTAAACACTAAAACCTGAACCACACTGTTCTAGTTACTATGACCATTTATGTGAAGCTGCTTTGACACAATCTACATTGTAAAAGCGCTATACAAATAAAGCTGAATTGAATTGAATTCTTTTCCAGGGACACCCAGGCTGTTTTTCAATATCAAGTACACTAAGTTTGGACTTGCATTCTTGGAAGTTCAGACTTGCCAAGTTCAGACTTAAAAGAACGAACTACCGAGGATGCGTGGACACAAGTCGGGTACTTCTTCAAATGAAATGGCAGTGTACTTTATAACGTCACTTAACTCACCATGGATTCATTGGTTTCACAGTACATTAACTATAAAATGATTTAATTATTTAAAGCACGACCCGTAATTAATATTATATTGATTTTATAAATCTACATTTTTGATTTAAGAAAATGTAAACATAAATCAATATAAATGTAAAGTAAAATGTGTTATTATACACAGACTCCTTTCTTTTATTATTAGATTTAATAAACTACAATGGACATTATACAAGTACAAATAAGAAATAAAGATAACATAAAGCAATTTGGTAAACAAAGACAAACAGCGTACAACACAATAACATAATTAAAGACACTTATAAAAGGTAACAAAATAATATTGACAAAATAATACACCTGAGAACAAATAATAGATTTAAAATACTAAAAACTGTTTGTTAAATATACCTGTCCTTCGCAGGTTTGCACAAGTCACCTCTTGATGTATCCTTGGCCAAAGGGGCAGAGCAAGTACACATCCGGGAATTTTATCTCTATTTGGCAAGACGTGAACTTTTAATTGGAACAGTACTTCGGCGAAGGTTGATGACGTTTCACGAGGACACAAGTACAGACAAGAACGCATATTGGGAAACAGCTCCATGCATATTTCAACAAGACAATGCGAAAGTACATTCTGCACACATTACAAAGTCCTGGGTGTAGAGGAAGAGGATACATGTACTAGACTGGCCTGCCTGCAGTCCCGACCTGTCTCCAACAGAGAATGTTGAACGCATTTTAAAGTGCAAAATGCAACAACGAAGACCCCATAGTGTTGGCCACCTTAAGACTTGTTTGCAGGATGAATGGGACAAAATTACACTTAAAACACTTCTTCACTTGGTGTTTTCAGTCCTTAAATGTCTTTTAAGTGTTCTGAAGAGGAATGGAAACATTACAAAGTGGAAAATGCTTTAATGTTCCAACTTTTTTGTTGAACCAAAATTGTAATAAAAATCACAAGGAACACATTAAATAATGTTTGTCGTGTTATCTGCAATGAAATACAAGTCAAAGTACATTTAGAAATCACTTCTTTTTTTCTTTGCGTTTTCCATGCTGTCTCAACTTTTTCTGGTTTCGGGTTGTATATACTACATCATATGTACATCAGTGAAATAAATACATGTATTTTGAGCATTCATCTCCCTATCGCCCTATTTAAACAAGATATATAAACACAAAGCCATCACTCATCTACAGTATGTTTTGAAATCACCCATTCTCATCATGAATTTGCTTCATATACACTTAAGCGGTCACAATTCCAGGGAAAGCTGACATTGGAAATGCATCGGTGCATAGTAAATCAAATCTGGGTTTAAATGTTTAAGTGGGACATTCAATCTGCCACCGAGGCCTTACTGGCAAGCTCAATGGCCTTCGACTACAGAAGAAACCATTTGCCGGTGGTGATAACAGTTGATATATGGACAACATTTATCATCAGATAATTTTTCAGAATCTGCTTTTAACAGGGTGTGAAGACCAATGATTCCCCACAGCATAAACCACCATAGTTCAGTTCACTTGCTTAATTTAGGCTGCATTTACACTGCCGATCTTGATGGTCAATTCTGATTTTGTGACTGTATCGGATTTTTTTGACATCATCTTTTAAAGGTGACTGGTATCCAATTTTCTATATTTACACTGGACACGAAAAGATTGCAGTGATCAGGAAAAAAAAAAAAAACGGGGAACTCTTTTCTTCATTCTTGTATTTAATCTGTTTGCAGGTTTTACTTTAGTATAATTTTTGACAAGTTTTTTCATTATAATCTATGCCTTAAATGTTCTCATTTGGCCATCTTCTTTTAATATAGGCTTTTTTAAACTAGTAACCATCTTAGTGTAATTTCTTTTTATAGTTTTATAGTTTATATTGTTTACATGGCGGATGTTGCTCTCTCTCTCTCTCTCTCTCTCTCTCTCTCTTATTAACATCTTAAATACTTGTAGTACATGACAATATAAAAGCTTTATTTATCCTTGTATATGAGATTTAAGGTTTGGGACTCTGCTGAAGTGTGTTCTGAAATGAAATCAGCACAGTTGACATCATTCCTAACGGTTTTTAAAGACGCGCGATTGGCATTGACAGGTGAAAATCCGATCAACCTGCTTACTATGTAAACACAAGGGCACAGATCTGATTCATATTGGATTCCACATATGAACAAGGCCTTAGTCTGGGGCCAATAAAGAAAATGAATGGCATTATAAGTATCAGCCAATTAATGCTTATTTCAGGAGTTCACACTTAGCTGATGATTGATTATAAAGCTTGTTTGGCATGCTGTCCCGGGAGAGAGGCCTGAGCTCATAAGATCCTTGAGCCCGGGGCTCCCTCCCGTTTGCAAGGCCAGAGGGGACTTGGAGCTCAGGTAGATCTTGAGAACTTCCTTGCTGTAGTAGCTAATGAACAGCTTTCCTTCAGCTTAATCCCTTATTCATCAGGGGTGGCCATAGTGGAATGAACTGCCAACTATTACAGCACTTGTTTTACACAACGGATGCCCTTCCAGCGGCAACCCAGTACTGGGAAACACTCATAGACTCTCACATTCACACACACTCAAACACTACGGCCAATTTAGTTCTTCCAATTCACTTATAGCACATGTGCTAACTTGTGGGGGAAACCAGAGCATCCAGAGGAAACCCACACGCACACGGGAAGAACTTGCAAACTCCACACAAAAATGCCAACTGATCAAGCTGAGGCTCAAACCAGTGACCTTGCTGTAAAGCGACAATGCTACCCACTGCGTCACTGCATCACCAATAATAAAACACCACAAATAAAACTATGGAAATAACATAATACATACAAATATTGACAGTAAATGCACAGCAATAAACAGACTGCAGGTATATGAGATATAATCGGCACACTGCCACTTTTTGTGTTTGAGCTAGCCATGACGTTTCAGTAAACGTAACTCAGCTTGACTTCGACATGTCACATGACAGCCTCCTTTCAAGCAACAATCCGAAACAATGTTTCAAAGCACAATTGTTGAAAACGTGTCGATA